CCCCATCCGCATCACGTGTAGGCTTCTCGGCATTACTGCCACCGCACACGTGCTTGGGAAATATTCGCGCTCGGGGATTCAGAGAAGCTACTTGATCAGACTTGCCCACGTTACAACGCCTTCTCTTCCCCGTATGAGGTCAAACCTTTCGGCCGGCAGCGGAGGGTCCCTGTTATGAGTGTAACATGGGCGGGATTGTGTAATTTCGTGTTGCGTATGTGGAATACTTTCGTCACCGAGAGAGGATCTCGGGTAGGCTCCCTTATCACCTTTTCGCATCACAATTTGGCTTAAGACCTCAGCATGGAGGTTGCTGTAAAAAAAACAAAGAGAAGCCCTAACCCAGTTTGGTTAAGCGAGACAAATAGCATACAAAAATAAGAATTGTGTATAGAAAACGAAATCTAAGTGACAGTAATGCTGGTGTGATAGCAACGAAAAAACAACTATTTTTTTTAAAAAACACTGTATGGACCCTTTGATGGTTACATTGCCACAGTGACAGCCATGCTATCAGTGTTGCCGTGAGTGTTGTGCTTTGTTTATGGATTAATGAATACATTAACTTGGCAGATGGAAAGACACACACTGTGCTACGAACTTTAGAAGAAGGATGAGTTACTGTAAAGAGAGTCCAGAAGACCCAGTGTCCTGTTACATAATTGTGTGTTGCCTTACATTGTAAATGCACAGGTGAAAATGAGATCAAATGAAAAGAGTAAATTATACTGTTTATTCTTACTGTTTTTGCAACCAAAGTCATAAACAGCAAAAATTATACAGTTATATTGGGTGTAGAGGGTATAGATCACTTCAAACTGCTGATGAATTAGCAAAGCAGAATGAATCTGTGTAATGTGCCTTCACTTGTCAGGAGGAGCTAGTCTGGTTAGAACTTGTCATGACACTCAATGGGTGATATTCTCTCTCTGCTTAAATCTATCTCACAGGGTTGTTGTGAGGATAGACTTGAGGAAGGGAGACACCTGCATACTGCCTTGAGCGCCCTAGATGAGGAACAGGATAAAAATTTACTCAAGTGAATACTTTGCTAATTTATCAACATTTGGTAGTGGTCCATGCTGTCTCTGACTGGATCTTCTTTTGGCTGGGTCTTGTTTTCCACGTGAAGTGAAGCATCTGTGTCATGGGAAATTGGGCCCTCTGGAGTCTCTTTGCAATATTTCTGCTGTTCATAGCTAAGGTGCATGTATCTGTGCCAAATGAATGTAACTTTTACGCAACTGATGAAATGGATTCTGTACTTCTGACACCATAAATTGATTAGTCTTTAAGGTACCACCACAAGACTCAGTCTTGGTTGAAGCAGACTAACATGGCTTCTCTTGTGGAAACTCAGTGCTGACTGCCTACATTATTTTGTGACGTATTTGTATTCAAACGAAATGGCAAGCCTTCATTTGTTGCCAACCTGCTAGAAATAAATCTGTTGTAGTGACTAAGGTTATGTCTTTTGCTTACTTTGTAAGCTGTGCCATGCTTATGAGAAGAGGCAGGCATGGATGTGGACTTTTTGGGGAAATTTTTCAGATTCAAATTTAAATAAATGACTTAAATATTAGCAAAAGAAGGCAAATACACCATGTAAAAGCCTGGACCATGTATAAGCACTGAGGTTTGTCCATGCTTCATCTCTCACTTTTAGCCCGTCTTACATGACTGGTTTGCAGCACAACAGCCCTGACCACTATAGACAAACAGACAATATTTACAAATGTGGGGCAGAAAATTTTCAATGGGAGAAATATAGTAACAAAAGATTTTTGGGGTAGTGTTCGTGTTCCAGAAAATTTTCTGTCCCACATCACTGGAAACAGGATATAAATATTCTGAATAACAGCAGTTTAAATATACCTGAAAGTTTCCTGTGATCTTGAACATAGTTCTCATATAAATATATGTAGCTGCCTCGTACTGAGTCATATGATTGGTCTGTCTAGCTCAGGACTGTGAAATCTGACTAGTAGCAGTTCTAAAGGGTCTCTGGAAATGGTCTTTTCTAACTCAGTTCAGTGAAATATCTCATTAGTTTGTTTTTTACCCCCATCTTTCTCCTGAAAATTAAAGCCCAGGTGGTGGCTTATATTAAAAAAAAAGCACACCAATGAACCCTTGACATCAATCACTTGAGATGTCTGAGATTGAAACTAGGACCTTCTGTATGCAAAGCCTGTGGTTTGGCCCCTCCTCTTGACTCAGCCATTGTGTCCGTTAATACAACTTTTATGTATGAAGGCCAAATAGCCTGCTTTCCTTGGTCAATTAATAAAGCAATCTATACATTGTTCTATTGGGCAGGGATGTTAATTATACTGTATCTCAGTTAATTAATAGAAAGAGATTAAAATGAGAATGTGAAGCTGTCAAAGAGAAGGAAATGTGTGCCAAACCAACATTTGAATAATAATTCTGCTTGAAAAAATGTTGTTATAAAGGTGGTTAACAGAGCATGTTAAGTGCTAGAATGGTTCCTGTATTGAATGTGACACCTCCAGTCTAAAAATAATAGTGATGATCCCTTTTTAAAAGTTGGCAAGCAAAGGCAACACTCGGCATAAGTTATGATGTAGGCTTTAAATCTGTAGGACAACAACTGATGCTCTGTGTTAACTAAACAAAAAAAATATATAGAACATTTGGAATACATCACACTATTCAGCCAGCTTAAGAGCTCCTCTAAAGTTAATGATCAGTAGTCATTTTGCCATCTCACTTATTATTTCAAACGGTAAACTATAATGAAAATTAGAGTATCTGATTTGGCCCATAATAGATAGGTCACTAAGTATTCCCTTGTTGAACATCCTGAGTGATACCATTTGACTCTGATGGCAGCTTCTTGTTTTAATTTTGGAAAGCACATACACAACTGTGTGTATTCTGTGGGTTTTTTAAAAGTCAGAATTCTGTATTGAGAGAGCTTGTATAGAATTATATTAATTGCTAGTCTATTTTTCTTGACCAGGAGAAAAAGAAAAACAAACCATTGCTACACATGTACCCCAGGGGGGTGTTGAAGAAAAATTAAGCGGGAGTCCAGTGGTGCCTTAAAAGACAAGTATAATTTCTTTGCATGGGTGTCCACTTCAGATATGTGGTGAAGTGAACTCTGACTCAGGAAAGAATATGTGGGAATTAACTTTTCCCCCCATCTTTAAGGTGCCACTGGATTTCTGTTTAATTTTACTTCCAAACTAATGGAAGCTTTGCATAGCCAATCTCTATTCCTTCCACCTGTTAAATCGATGTGTATTCCTGGTCTTCGTTTTCCCCTTTTAATTTCTGTTCCTGGCATAAAAGTAAAACGAGTTATTTTTATCTTGTGTTATTGCGCTTAGAGAAACTCAGTTCTTTTTTCACTTAGAGGCCTCTCGTGATAAAGGTTTGAGAACCCTTGGTTCTCCGACCTTAAGTGGCTTAGTTGGGGGTTGAGAATATACTATTCTCACCATGTTTGGGGGTTTGTATTACCTTGGTATTACCAACCTTGCAGATTCAAATAATATTACCTGCATCCAAACCTTATGAAAAGGATTTGGTGAAATATGTAACTGTTAATAGGTCACAAAGTAGGATATTTTTCCTGTTCATTTCCTTATCCTCATAGAAATGCTTAAACATTTTCATGCTAATCTATCACCTTGTCATCTTCCAACTCCAACTTAAACGTTTAGAACTTTTTCTCATGTTATTTTATGTAATGCAGTGGCTACAACAACATAAATGCTACATGGGGCAATAACATTATCCTAACATGCTTTTCCAGAACTGTGTCACTACATGATGTATACTCTTGAAAGCCCCCAACCTTGTAAAATCACTAGAAAACTAGGTAACCTGTGATTTTAAAATATGTATATATATTAGGGTTCGCAAACACTTTTTGAGGGAGAGCACTCTGACTTCACTCTTCCTCCTGACAAAATGATTAATGACTTGGCTATTATATTTGAGAACTTTAGATACCACTGTATTGGTTAGCTGATAGATCCTTGGACTTGTGGCCTAAAGACAACAGTATATATGTCCTAGTTCAGTGCTGTCAAATATAGAAGTGGGAGAGCCGCATATGGGTTTCTGTTGTGTCTCCAGTATGTCCCTTACTACTCCTTCCACACACTATGTAATTCAGCCTTTTTCTAGATCCAGGAAGCTTAGCAAGGAGGGTCTGACCTCACCATATTGTTGCTGTATGCCAGTTTCAGGACCTAACCTATTTTTTTTACATCTGTAATGTTGAGTGGTAAATAGTGTAGTATAGCATGAAGTTTCGTAAAAACGTGTCTTCACTAGAGTTGCTTATTGGATTTCCCCCCAGTTTTATTAGTGGCTGGCTCAGTTGGAGAATCAGCATGTATGGGTGGGGAAATGCTTTCCTTCCCATACTATTGCCAGGAGAGGGGAATAAGTACTGAGGAAGAGGGCATTGGCTGTAGAATCTCAGTGGTGCTATTCCCTCACCCACATGCTGTAAGCATTTCCTTGCTTGGGTTCTCCTCCAGGTAGTAGAATTCAGGGGGTGGGGTTGAGGACAGAAATTGGGAGCAGGACGCAAAATTTATTTCAACAAATGCAGTGTAGATTGTCACTAATTTTTTAAATATGAAAGGTATGTGGCCCTGAGGTTGTGGTCCTGAGGTTCTGCTGAGTATTAAATTGGACCAACCAGCTGACTTGGATTTGACACTTTTGCCCTAGTTCATCCTCTGTCTCTTGCCAGCAGTCCTTTCTCAAAATGTGCTGACGCTCTGAATACAAAGCTAAGCCATGTTATTTATGTGGGAATTCACAGAAGTATAGTAATATGCGCTAGTAAACTATCTGTTCATTGCCTCATTAACATTTGTTTTCAAGCTGACTGTTCTTAAAACTGGCATGTAGGAACTGTGTACTTTTGGGGTTTTTTTCCCTGAAATGTGTAACATGACCCACCTGCATTGTCTTCCTCACAAGCAGTTTGCACCCTAGTATTGGTCTGTTTCAACCACCTCTGTTTTCTTACATTATAGCATGTCACAAGAGGGCCACTATAGTTATTCAGTTTAATTTTTTGGCTTATAGGCCAACTGTGTCCATAGTTTAATTCCCTGCTCCCCTTTTGTGGTGGTTTTCCTTTGTGAATACTTCAGAGGATACTCTTGAGGAATGAGGACATACTTGCTGGTCTTTCTCCCCCCCCCCCCTTGTGTTTGTTGATGGTGTGTAACTTCTGTTTTCAGCACTTTTCTCAACTAGTAAGGCTGACACAGCCCAGAACATGGCATCAGAAGACATTTCTAAGCTGGCAGAGTCGCTTGCCAAAACACAGGTGGGCGGAGGACAGCTGAGTTTCAAAGGAAAGAGCCTGAAGCTCAATACAGCAGAAGATGGTAAGAGGAATAGCAGTGCTGTTGGGAGGGTGTGACTGCTTTATGGTTTCAAAGTTGCTTTCAGGGCAAGGGATTTTGGGGAATATTATCTCAGCCAAGGATATGTGAAGATGAAGTATTACAGAAGTATAAAAGCATAGTGTCATTTCAGGAGAGGATGACATACTGACACCTGAGTACTCCATCTCCCATAATCCCTGGAGGCAGGAGGTAATTCCTTCCACCCCTGAGGAGAAGGTTCCCCCCCCCCCCCCCCCCCCCCTCTTCCCCCGCCCACCCCCCCCCCCGTTGTTTTCCTGCCTCCTCTGCAAGTGCAGGACTTTGGAGGAGCTACAAGTGCCTTTTAGGTTTTTTTTCTCTGCAGTGATCCTAGGTCTAGTTTTCTTTCCCTTGTGGGCCTTTAGTGTGTTTTTCTGTTCTCTGTGTTTAAAAAAAAAATAAAATAGAAAAGTGAGCTGCTGTGCATTTGTTCTTCCCTCACCTCCCATCCTCCACTTGAGCAAACTACCACCCAAAACCCTGTGGCTATGTTGTTTGCATCTCCAAAGGCAGAGGGACAGGCTGCCACAATGCTGGAAAGGAGACTTGGGGGGCTGTGATGCCCAGCAACAGAGGGTTGCTGAAACAAAGGCAGAGGAGTAGCTAGCCCCTGGGAATGATTTACTTATTCATTTAGAATATTTCTATGCCGCCTCTTCAGAGTAGTAAAATGGCTTACAATTAAAAAGGACAATTTGAAACACAACATATTAAAACTCAAGCAGACCATTAAAAAGCTTGTGAGATAACCCCCCCAATTAAAAGCCTAGTTAGAAAGATGTGCTTTAGGTTGGGGCCTAGAAGAAACTAAAGTAGGTGCCAGGTGAGTCTTAAGGGATCATACTTCTTAAGGGAATGGCTGTAGCTCATGAAGCAGCTGGAGCTAATAAAAGGCACTGCATGCTATGGATGAGACTTGATCCTCCAATCATAAGCCAGGATCCATTATCAATCCCCCCAGCTACAAACCTGCTCCTTTGGGAGAATGTAGTCTTCTCTAGGGCAAGGTAACTCTCAAGTCCCCAAGCAGTTTCTCTATTGACCAATAGCACCTCAGTTTGTCTGGAGTGAGCTTCAGTTTATTGGCCTTCATCCATCCTATTATCTTCTCCAAGCACCTTTTCAAAACTTCCACAGATCCACTTGGCTTAGCTATTAAGGAGAAATAGAGCTGGTTATCATCTGTGTATTGGTGGCACCTCACTCCAGATCCCGAATGGACCTCTCCCCATGACTTCTTTTAGATGTTAAATAGCATGACCACCTTTGAAGCACCTTGTCTGCTTCATCAGGCCTCACAACTGAAAGTCAATAACATCTAGATTGAATCAGTTAAACTCTAGTGTCTTAAGGTCATGGCAGAAGTGAGCAATTTTTTCTTCAAAGTCTGTTGAAAAGGACTCACAGCCAGCTTGTATGTTTTCCAGGTCAACATCCTCTGGTGCTTGGATGGCATTGTGCAGACACAATGGTGGCAGAAAAGTGAGCTTGTTTTGCTGCCATCATTGCCAATAGAGTAGACACAGTGAGGTGTTCACACATATGTTCAGCTGCATTTGCTTTGAGTCTTTAGTGCACTTTAACATCTGCCCAGCCATTTCACCTATTATAGACCAACAGGTAGAAGCTGGGACCAGCATGCCAGCTGGCTGTGAGGAAGGTTTTGGTGCCAAAAACCTCATGCCTTGTTGCACCATTGTCAGTAGCTTGCACTGGCTGCCACTTCCCCTGGAACCCAGAGTCAAGCCATTCAGGAGATGATGAGAGAGCAGGGCAATTCTACTTCCCTGGGCACCTTGGGCTAAGGTGGAGATGTCTTCATTGCTCTGGTGGGATTTTCAGGAGCGGCTGACCAACTTTTTCCCCCCTTTAACAATGAAGTGGTCAGAAAAGAACAATATTAGTGCCGAAAGAGGCGCAGCCCTTTGGGTGCCCCCCCCACCTCATCCTCTTCCATTCCTCTTAAAAATCATCCAGGAACCCTGAGAATGTCCAGGCTAGGATCAGACTACTGGAAAGCCCTCTTGGCCTACTGGGACAGCACAAAACCTTGCCCACACTACCCTCCCAGGCTTCATCACCCAGATCTTCTGGGTTTACAATACCGATTCTGAGCACTCCAATTCTGATTTGGACAGAAAGGAGAGGGAGCTCTCAGATGAAGATCCTCCTCAGACGCTCCCCTCCCCCAGTAACAGAGGCTTTTCCTCACAATGAGAGACCAAGGATAAAAAGAAGGCCATGTCCTTTTCTTCCAAGAAGGACAGATGCTAGAAGGAATTCAGCTCTATCCTCTTGTAACTACAGGACCCTCCCCAGATTCCATACATACTATAGAAGACCTGCCTGGTCTAAGCCAACGACCCCCTCAGTCTGTTTCAGGTCAGAACTCAGGCAACAAAAGCAACAAACCTCATCAGCAGTTCAAGTGATGCTGGACTTCTGCCACTGTGGGGCAGACTCCAATAGTTTGGCCAAACCTGGAGCTAAGGTTTCTCAACAAGTTTGTTGCTTGCAGAATGGAAACGCTAAAATTTATCACAGAGGCACTTCTAGCAAGGAACTTCATGATATCTGTAGATCTGGGCCTACCTCCATGTCCCCATTTTCCCTCCACGGAAAAGACCACTACTCAGAGATCCAGTATAGTGTAGTAGTGGTTAAGAGCAGCAGACTGTAATCTGGGAAACCGGTTTTGATCCCCCACTCCTCCACTGAAGCCAGCTGGGTGACCTTGAATCAGTCACTTCTCTTGAAACTCTCTCAGCCCCACCTTCCTCACAGGCTGTCTGTTGTGAGGAGAGGAAGGGAAGCCGATTGTAAGCGACTCTGAGACTCCTTGGGGTAGTGAAGGGTGGGGTATAAAAACCAGCTCTTCTTCTTCTACCAATTAGGGCTCTGCCCTTTAGAGTAGCATTGGCTCCATGGGTATTCAGGAAAGTGAAGGTCACCCTCGTAGCAAGCCTCAGACATTGGGATATCCACATAGCCCCCTTCTTGGATGACCTACTTGTTGGATTGCTTTCTGCAGAGAAGGTGATCCCGGACATGCTGTTCATGCTCCAGTGCCCATCATTGTGTGGCTTCCTCATCAACCTTGAAAATATCCTTCTGACCCTTTTATGGTGATGACTCACCTAACAGCAACTGCGGATTCAGTTTGTGCACTCTTCTTTCTGCTGGAAAAAGTGGTGAAACTGAGAAGCACAGCAAATCAGGTTATCTCATCCAATTTGGTGGATCATGTTCCTGGCATAACTCTTGGGGTCCACTGCACGGGACATCAGTGGTTCTTACTCCCTCACCAGCAGCTGGTCACCTTCAAGGGACACCTGAGATTCAGAGTCATTTCATAGTTGTGGCTTTTTCTTCCTTGGTGGACCATCACTTCACTCGATCAGAGGCAGAGAGTTCTTCCTCTGAGATGGAGGACATCTCCATGGGTCATTCCCACTGTGCCTATAGGGAGGCAGGAAATACTTTTTCCACTTCCTGTTGGTGCCTTCGGAATAGCCCATCCCCAGTTCTGTTCCTGCCTCTGTAGGGAGTAGAAACTGTAGAATAGACTTAGCCTCATTTCTCCGTTTTTCCATTCTTTTTCAACCTAATTCTCAACTTTCCTTCACTTGCCTTGCTTTTTTTTTGCTTTTTAAAAAACATTTTAATTGCTTTTCTAAAACTACAGTACTACAGGGTTAGGGAATGTGAACATCCTGACCTTTGCTTCTAGTGCCATGGCCTCGACTACAGTGACCAGAAGGTTTCTTTAGTTAAGGGCCTGGCAGGCTGACTCACTCTCCAAGTCCATCGTTATGGCCTATCCCTTCCAGGGGGACTGACTGTTTGGGGATGCCTTGGACAAGATCCTAGTTGAGACACATGATAAGAAAAAGGCTAAGCCCAGATCATTACGACACTCTGAGAGACGTGGAAATCATTCCTTTCGTACTCAACATTCCTTGGCAAGACTTCATCAGGACTCCAAGAAAACCACCTGGGAGTCTTTGAAACCCTCATCCAAATGGGGCTCCTGTGGATCTAGATTCCATAAACCTACCTTCAACAAGACTGACAGAGGGGACCGTGACACCAAACCCAAGCAGGCGTGACTACGTCTCGCTTCCTGTGGGAGCTCATCTTCCACATTTTCACCCAGCATGGAAGCAGTCACTGGCAGATGCCTGGGCCATGGAGATAGTGTCTCAAGGCTACACCACAAAATTTCATTGTCAACTACCAGAGCAATTCCTCATCTTTCCAATCAGCAGGTCCATAAACAGAAGAGCCATTGTCGACAGGGCTCTGTGGCACCTATTAGACATCCAAGCTATTGAACCGGTACCCATCCCCAAGAGGGGCCGGGGGGGTGTTACTCTATCTTGTTTATGATTCCCAAGAAGAACAACGATTGGAGAGCTATACTGGATCTCAAGTTTCTGAACAAGTTCATCAAGCTTCACCACTTCCACATGGAAACCTTGAGGTCCATTACGGAATCCCTATTACTCAATGAGTTCCGACTTCAATAGATCTTATTGAGGCTGATCTTCATGTCCCAATTCATCCAGCACACAAGCGCTTTCTCCAGTTCTGCATGGACAACCAACATTTCCAATACCAAGCTCTTCCTTTCGGCTTATCCACAGCTCCCAGGTTCTTCTCCAAGCTGATTATCAACCCAGTAGTGCATCTCCGAAACCAGGGAATCCACATTCATCCGTATCTAGACAACCTGCTAGTGAGGGCAGACAGCAGAGTGGGTTCCATCCGGAACACAGAGGTGACACCACAATGTCTTCAGAACCATGGGTTCGTGGTCAATCTGTCCAAGAGCTCCCTTCAGCCAGCGCAGAGAATCGAGCATCTGGGAGTGATAATCAACACAACTTGCAACTCTTCTTTTCCTTCCTCTGCCCAAAGCCAAGAAGATCAGAGTTGGCATCCCTGGTGACCCAGAGCTG